GGTAAATGACAGCTGTGGGAAGCAGTGTTTGTTTGCACGAGTCTGTGAATGTGCGCTGTGTATGTTCCGCGTTGCAGCTGCTGGTGCGGTTGCTGTTGTCGTTGCTGCTGCTGTTTCTGTGAATAGCTGTTTATCACAACAAGTTTCACTCACGCTCACGACTGCTTTGTTCTTTCTTCCCTCCTTCCTTTCCTCTTTCTCCCTTACTTTATTGCCCTGCCTTGTTTCCTCCACTCGTCGCCTCCTCCCCCTTAACTTCCCCTCACGCACGTACAGCGCGGCCGTGTGGTCAAGTCCATCCTCACCCACGAGAAGCGTAAGGCCGGCAAGGCCCGCAGGGCAGCAGCGTCCAAGTAAATGGGCCGTGTGTGCTTTGGTTTTGTTGTTCGTCAAGTACACATGAATCCCCATACGAATCAGCCAGCAATGACACAGAGACAGTGTGTGTGTGCGTGAGAGTGAAATAGGAGAGACTTTTGGGTGCGTGTGTGAAGGCGAGCATGCTCGCCTTCACAAGTAGCGCGCGTACATGCGTGCGATATTTCAAATCAAGACTGTCAGGTGGTCAGTCACCATGAGTGGCCATGTATGATCGTGGGGCGAAGGACAGTGCTGTCATGTCACGTATCATTGACATCACGACCATTAATGCCAATCGCTGCGACTCATGGATACATGTATAGTGATGCTATGTACGGGGTTGTCACTGGGGCTAATGGTGGCAATAAGAGGCGAAGCGAAGAGTGAACAAGATAAACACACGACAAAACAAGGAGGGTCACGGAACAGCGACAGGATCAGGAGTCAAGACAGTACGAAGATAAGAGCATTCAGTCGACATACATCATGCCAGGCAAGGCAGGTAGAAACGGCTCGCTTGAAGCCAGCAAAGCCATCCTGTGAGCAGGGCTTGTGATTGCATGGTGTCAATGAACACATGAAACTTTCAGAACATGTGGTGGATGTTGGAAAAGGATGGTGAGCAAGAAGCGCATGGAACAAGGGGTGGAGGAGATGCAACGGCTTTGGATGCGATGCAATGACTTGGACGCAATGACTTGGAGTGCTGGCTTGATGTGGTCGCAGTCGGACGCACACACGCACAAGGAGGGAAAGGGAAGGGGGTGCAAACCAACAAAACCGCCAGTCGCAGCAGCAGCACTAGCAGCAGCAGCGGCGGCGGCCCATCACCTGTCGAGGAACCACATGACGTCCTTGCTGTCATCGACTGCACGGCAGTAGGTGAAGGCAGACCAGAGCGACTGCACGATGCCCAGAAGGCCTGGGGCGACGTTGGGCTCGACGTAGTACTTGCCCAGGAGCGGCTTGACGGCGCGGGTGGCCTCCTCGGCGTGGTAGTGGGGCATGCGGCTGAACAGGTGGTGCACGACGTGCGTGTCGGCAATGTGGTGGTGGAAGTGGTTGAGGACGCCGTAGTCGCGGTCGACGGTGCACAGGGCGCCGCGCAGCCACGTCCACTCGCGGGAGCTGAAGTGCGGCACGCGCGTGTCCGTGTGCTGGAGGAAGGTGATGAGCACGAGCCAAAAGTTGACCCACAGGTACGGCACCAGGTACACCTTGGTCAGCCAGGCCAGGCCATATGCGTGACCGGCAAGGAAGAGGGCGCCCACCCAGGAGAAGAGCACAATGTCGCTGAGGATGACCTGGACCCGCTCCTTCTCGGAGAAGAGCGGGGAGTAGGGGCTAAAGTGGTCGGTGTGGCGTCCGTAGTCGCGGCCGGTCACGTGCATGAGCAGATACGTGGGCCAGCCAAATACCAGCATGCGGCCCATCTCAAACACGCGCTGAGCAAACGACACAATGCCTGCAATCGGACAAAACAATAAAAGGCACAACACAAACAACATGGGTGTGAGATGACGGGAAGAGGATGCCTTGATGACATGACAGGGGCCGCGGTGACATAAGTGGGCGTAGGAGCAACCCCGGATGAGCAACAATCGTATCACACAACATCAAAGCGGCAACGCCAATCAATATGACACCAACAAACACGGGTGCATCCAACCGAAACATGCGCTCGTTACCGACGAACAAGGTGACAACAAAGCATTTGTTTTTGCCATGGTTGCTCGGCACACACCGGGCATGTCCTCGTAAGGGGTCATGTCGCCGACTTGGGACTTGCGCTCGGGAATGAACACCTCGTCCTCATCAATGTGGTTGGTGCGTGCGTGGTGCTTGGCGTGGCTGATCCTCCATGGATGGTAAGGCACAAGGAGCATCTAATGGGATTTGGGGCGGGGCGGGAAGGAAAGGGCCAAATGTATGTGAGAGCATGTGCGGGAACACGTATGTGTTTGAGTGTGAGAGTGAGTGAGTGTGTGTGTGTGTGTGAGAGAGAAAGTGAGAGAGTGAGTGTGTGTGTGTGTGTGAGAGAGAGAGAGAGATAGAGTGTGTGTGTGGATAATGAGTGTGTGTGTGTGTGTGTGTGTGTGGATAATGATGGAGGCAAGGAGTAAGACGAGCACAAGCGTCACATGGACAAGCCCACCAAAGACCAGCCCCACAAAGACCAGCTAAGTCCCACGAACACAAGGGCAAGAGCAAACAAACCCAAACCTGTCGCACACAGGGAAACAACCACATGATGTCTCACTCAACCAAGCCGTGTCTGACTTACGCTGTGGAGCATCATGCCGATGAAATCGCCAAAGGTCTCGTTGGGGGAAAACGCGCGGTGACCGCACTCGTGTGCAATCACCCACAGGCCCGTGAGCACAACACCCTGGCACCACCAGTAGAGCGGCCACAGCACAAAGCGCGCCCACGTGGGCACGCCGGGCTGGTCAATGAACGTGGACAGGTAGTACAGGACGGCGGCGCCAGCCATGTCCTGCGCTATGTAGCGGAGCGAGGTCCACGTGTTGCGCTCGAAGCAGTGCGCTGGGATGGCCCGCTGTGAAATCACCAAAGACAACAACAAGGTAACAACACGCGTGAGATCGATTGGGGGCGGTGGAGATGGGAAACATCGGAGGATGGGTGGACAACGGTGGGTGTGTGAATGAGCAAGGACGCCATGCACATCAACAAGTGCACACAAGATTTGAGACATTCGCTACACACCACAGCACCAAAAACACACACCACACACACACACACACACACACATGCACACACTGTGCATAAAAACACACACAACAATACACACTGTGCACACAAACACACACACACAACAACGCACACACGCGCACGCACACAACAACGCACACACTGTGTGCACACACACACAAACACCACAATGCACACCACAATGCACACCAAAACACACAGTGCACACCTTGAGGTCGCCAAGGGTAAAGGGAGGAGGAGCCGCGCATGCGCGATCCTCGGCCAGATCCTTCTGGATCGCCGCAGGCTTGGTCATCGTGGCTGGCTGGTGGTGGTGGCCGTTGGGTGCTGTGCTGTGTTGTGTGCTGAGCAGCCGCCGCGTGGTTTTGCAGCCGCCGCGTGGTTTTGTTGCAGCCCGCACAAGGTGTGTGGCGCTTGTGTCTGCTGAAATTTCGCCTGTGCATTGCAGAATCACCCTCACTCCTTTGCGCTTGCTGTCAACAATGACAGCAGCGCACAAGTGCTCCCAAATTGCACCACAATTTGCAAATGGAATGTCCAAGTCCCCCGACCGTCTTCCTCCAATTTTGTCGTTGCGCGTTGCAAGAACCAAACCAATCTTTCTTCGTGCCTCTCTCCCTTTCTTCTGTGCTTGCAACATTCCCACAGCACAGCCAACCCCATTCACATTCAACAGCCACCACCGCCACCGGTCAGCACAGCAGAGCACCCGCAGCGGGCATTGCATTGCATTGTTGTTTATGTTCGTTCATTCGACCTTGCGCCATCTCCAACAAGCAAGCAAGGAACCAATCGAGCACCGAGATCCACAGCACTGCGAGTGCGTGAGCGCGAGTGTTCGTGATCATTTGATGAAGAACAAAGCAGAACAGAACACACGACGACGACAGATCGTGCGCCACAGAGCACTGCATCGCCACTCGAGTGCTCCAGTTGCATTTCCAAGCGTTGACATGAAGAAGATGATGGTTGCCGTGCTGCTTGTCACCGCCCTTGTGCTCCTCGCAGGTGTGTTATTTGTGTTTGTTGTGCGTCGTGTGGGTGTGGGTGTGTGCGTGTGGGTGTTTGTCATACTTGTGGTGTGTGTTTGCACCATCGCCGTACCCACTCACACACGCCCAATTTACCTCACCACAGGAGGCAATGGTGCTGCGGCCACTGTTGTCAGAAACCCAGAGAATGGCCACTACTACACCATTTCCAGGTTGGCGCAGATGCAAGTGTTTGCTCGCTCGTGTAGTGTATTGTGGTTTTTGTGGCAGTGCTAACCAACCATCCCCATGTCCTTTTCACACCACTGCATTCCATGCTCGATACACACACACACACACACCCACTCACACACACACACACAGCTACAACCTGGGCTTTGGCCTCTCGACTGGCTCAGCCGCTCTGCAAGTTTACGAAGGCTGGCCCGGGCATCTCGCCACCATCACGTACGTGTTTCCAGCAATGCGCAACCATCTTCTTTTTTTTTTTTACGTACGCTTGACCCCCCCCCCTCTCCCTCCGCCACACCTTTCTTCCTGGTATTTTGCCACCTCACAAGCGCTGTTCAGCAAACAACAACCCCCCGCTCACATTTGTCTCCTCCTTTTTGACACATGCATGTGATCGCCCCGCAGCACTGCCGCTGAGGACCAATTGGTGAAACAGCTTGCTGCCGGTCGCGAAGTTTGGATTGGCGCCAGCGAGCTGGTGAGGGCACCGCAACTGCGTCTTGTGTGTATGTGTGTGTGCGTGTGCGCGCGCAATGTGAACGGAGGAACACAACTTGTCACACCACAATGCTCATGTTTGCGTTGTGCTTGTTGCGGTTGTGCTTGTTGCCGCTGTGTAGAGCGGTAGGTGGCAGTGGGAAGTCGGCCCCGAAAAGGGCACCGCCATTCCCGGCTCATCAGAAAAATGCGGTGCGTATTTGTGCGCGTGCGTCATGTGCGTGTACGCGAACTCTGTGTGTGTCAATGCATGCTCGTGCCCTGCCCAGTGCTTGATTGATGTCAGGGCTTGTGATCTCTTCAAGGGCTTCCCAAGCACACACGCACACAGATACGCACAACAACGCACATAACACACACACACACACATAACACACACGCACACAACCTCCCTTTCAATCTAAGCGCATGCCCCACTCTTTGCTTATACACGTGCCTTTCTCGCACCCTCTGCCCAACTACACCAGGCGAAAGCAGCGTGTACTGCAACTGGAACCCTGGCGAGCCAAGCAATTCGTGCACCTTTTATGTTCTTGTATTCTGTGCTGCAACAGAGGACTGTGCCGAACTCCGAGGCAGCGGCTGGAACGATGAGGTTCGTGCATGCGTGTGGGTCTGTGACTGTGACTGTGACTGTGTGCGTGACTGTATTTCTGGCACGAGGCACTGCATGTGTGTGTTTATGTTTGTAGTGTGTGACGTAGTTGTGCGTGATGTGGTGGTGGTTGCGGTGGTTGCGGTGGTTGCGCCCTCTCAGTGCGTGTGACGCTCATCTCTTGGTGTATGTGCTCGTGTGGGTTTGACAGGGCTGCACCACCCCGGCTCCCAGCGTGATTGAGTTTGAGCCTGCCGACGCACACGGCAACTGCCTCAGCGGCTTTGTGTACGTCATGACCACTGCTCATATGCGTGTTTCGTGGGGGAGTGAGTGTATCGGCAAGTGAGTGCGTGTGTGTTTGCGCGCTGCACCACACATACACAAACACGCACGCACGCATACGCACGCACGCGTTCAACAAAGGTCCATACCAACCTCACACATAAACCCAAACCTCTGCGTCCCCTCGTGCGTGTTGTTACCTCCGCTGCAGCCATCGCTCGCCGCTCGGTTGCGTGCCGGAGAACCCGTGCTCCCTCAACCCGTGCGCGACAGATAAAGAGGACTGCGTTCCCAACATGGCCGAGTATTCAAGGCAGTGCATTCCAAAGGCCACCACAACCACCTCAACGACAACAACAACGACAACCACCACAACAACTACCACTACCACAACCACAACAACTACCACTACCACAACCACAACAACTACCACCACAACAACTACCACAACCACCTCAACTACAACTACAACTACAACCACCACCACCACCACCACTACCACCACCACCACAACCACCACTACAACCACTACCACAACCACTACAACCACTACCACAACCACTTCCACGACCACAACCACTTCCACCACTACCACTACAACAGCTGCACCGCCGCCGGCGCCACCCGGCGGATCCACAACGACAGGGGAGACGACCACTACCTCCACTACCACCACGACGACGACAACCACCACCACCACCACTACCACTACCACCACTACCACGACAACGACCCCTACCACTACCACTACCACTACCCCCACCACGACAACGACGACGACAACTACCACAACAATAACTACCACTACCACCACCGAGCCAACCACAACCACAACTACCACTACTCCAACTACCACCACCACCACCACCACCACCACCACCACGACAGCAACCACCACTACAACTACCACTACAACTACCACCACGACAACGCCTGCGCGGAGGGTGAGCCCCGTGTCGTTTGTCTTCTCGCCGTTCTCGCGCGATGCGGATGCGTGGGACCTGGTCAGCTACATCCAGGACAACCTCGCCAGCACACGCCACGCCTCCCTCTTTGCCCGCCTCTCCACAACCGTTGTTGACGCCGGCGCCGTTGTGCGGGATGCGCGCGGTCGCGATGCCTCATCCGCCCGCCGCCGCCGCGATGGCGACGATGAGGAGAGCAGCGTCATCCCCAGCAACGTGCGCGGCGTGCTGGTTGGCGTGCGTGTACTCGACGCCACAGGCGCGCCCGTGTCGCAGGACGACGTGCGTGCGAGCGTCGACCTGAGCACCCTCATCCACATCGCCACGGATGGCTCACAGGGCCCGCTCTGGTTCTGGATGGACGATGATGGCACGCCCATCGGCGCTGCTGTCGGTGCTGCCGTCACCACCACGGTCGCCACCGCCACCTTCACCTTCCCCGGCCTCTTCACCACGCCCGTGTTCACCACCCCGCACCCCACAGGCTCCACCACAGCGTCTACACCGGCACCATCGGTCTCGTCCTCGCCCTCATCTTCAGCGACCAGCACGGGCACGGGCAGCGGTAGCAGCACCACGGCCCCGCAGCCCTCCCGCAGCTCCCAGGCGTCTGTCCCTGTTGCTGTTGGCGCCGGTCTCGGCGGTGTCGCTGTGCTCGTCATCATCATTGCCGCTGTCCTTCTCCTTGTGCGCCGCCGCCGCATCGCCTCTGCAAACAACCGCGCCAGCACCGCCAGCGCGCCTGCCAACGGGCTTGGCTCTGGCCTCCCCGCCCCCGTCAACGGCGGCTGGCTGCATGGCGGCAAGGGCGCGGGCACCACGGAGCCCTACGGCGTTGTCACAAAGAACCCCGTCTTTGATGCGCGCGGCATGCCCGAGACAGACGCAGACAGCGCCATTGTGTCGCACAACGGCGACGCTGACAGCAACGGTGACGGTGACAGCCGTGCTGGGTACGATCGCCCACGCGTGCAGAACCCGTTCCGCGACTACGTTGAGCCCGAGGACGGCGCCAACAGCTACGACTACGCGCGCGAGGGCCGGGACGCGTTCAGGGACTACCAGCGCCCGCAGCCGGGCCACGTGTACGACAACAACCACCCGCGCAACCCGGACGACCCGTACTACTCGTACCCGCACCTGCCTCAAGCTGGCGGTGCCCACACGCGCTACTACACCCCGCCCGTCGCGGGCTCCAAGGACCACCACAGCTACGACAACCCTCGCGTGTCCACCGAAACAGCCCCATACGACCTTCCAAAGTCCCACCCCGCCTACGACAACCCGCGTGTATCCGACGAGACGGCGCCGTATGACCTTCCCAAGTCGCACCCTTCGTACGACAACCCGCGTGTCATCTCGCCCGGGGAGTCTGCGCCATACGATCTTCCAAAATCGCAGCGGATTGGGCGCGAGTACCTGGATGTGATGCCCACGCCCGACGGCGTTGGCTACCGCGTTCCACACGTCCGCCTGCAGGCGCGCGCAGACGCAGACAACACCGACCCTGCTGCAGGTGTTGATGATGACGACAAGGATGTTGCTGTTGAGGACTCGTTTGGGTTTGGCTCCAAGTTTGCGTCACAGCTGGCGTCGCGTGCTGGAAGCGACTTGAACATTGACCGCGATGCCCCGCTCATCAACGCAACGTACGGCGCAACCCCGGCCATCCTCGTCCGCAGCACACCCTCCATCTCCAACCGCAGCCAAGGTCGTGGTGATGATGACGGTGATGACGATGAGGAGCCACGCTACGACCCGCGCACGATGGGCGACGACGGTGATGGCGCAGCGTATGCCATTGCCAACCACCCTGTTAGTGACCCCGACTATGATGTTGCTCGCCATCTCTCCGCATCCACCGCCCACCACAACAAGCCGTCCAGCAGCGGCCCACAGACGTACGGCCTCCCAGCCCAAACATACGAAGCATCCGCCCCCTCGTCGGCGTCGCGTGGTGGCCGCAAGCGCACGTTCAGCTGGGGCCTTGGCCGCCACAGCAGCAGCAAGCGCGAGAGCAGCACGGACGACAGCACCGCCCAAGCATCTGCCGAAGTGCTCGGCACACTGCCACCGGGCCTGCTGCGCGGTCGTATGGCGCGACGTCAGGCAGAGACACAGCTGCTGCCGCACGCGGGGACGACTGGCGCGTTCCTGTTGCGGGTTGGCCGCACGGGCGCCAAGGACCCGCACGGCGCACGCGTCATGCACACGTGGGCCATCTCCATGGTCACGCCAGCGGGCTTCCAGCACCACCTGCTGTTTGTCATTGCTGACGGCACGTTCAAAGTCAACGGATGGCGCCTGCCTGCCTCTGTCAACACAGTGGCAGACGCCATTGCACACCTCAAGCACACGCCCGTCGGCATGTCCAACGTGCTCACCACCCCAATCACCTCCTCCGCGTGAGATTGTGTGTGTGTGTGTTTGTGTGTGTTTGTTGTGTGTGTGTGTGTGTGTGTGTGTGTGTGTGTGTGTGTGTGTGTGTGTGTGTGTGTGTGTGTGTGTGCGTGGGAAGGTGTCCCTTTGCGTTTTCGCTGTCATGTTGCTGTTGTGCTGGGTGCTGCTTCTGTTTCTTGTTGATTCCTGTCACGTCACTCCCCAACTCCCAACTCCTCTACCCCGTGTTTTCAAACCGTTCCTGGTCCTTCGATGCATGTTTGCTTTCCACCCTACACGACCTTTTACCTTTACCTTTGCATAGCTCTCAACCAATAGCTTAGTTTCGGTGATGGCGCTTTTGTCATGCGCGTTGGTGCTTGGTTTGTCTTATGTTAGCCATTGGTTTGCACCACTTCCCACCTCTTATGCTTGCTCTTCCCTTTGTGGCTGTTGGTGTGGTGTGGTGTGTTTGTTGCGCTGTGATGGCGCGAGCTGCGGTGTGTCGTGCGTGTGTTAGAGCTGGTCTTGACACCGCATGTTGCACTCGCATGCTTTCCCAATCATCACGGCCATGCATGTAACGGCCACAATCAAAGCAACATGGAGACACAGAGCAGGGCAAGTGAAGTGGTTGAAGCCAGTGAGAGTCAGGTGGTAATGGAACAACTTCCCTCATTCATTCATCGGGGAAGCGGTCAAACAGTCGAGATAGCGGATCAATCACGTCTTCCTTCAGCCGCTCCTGCTCCCCACGAGCTTCCTGTGCCTCTGTGTTGCAGAGGTGTGTGTGTGTGTGTGTGTGTGTGTGTGTGTGTGTGTGTGTGTGTGTGTGTGTGTGTGTGTGTGAGTGTGTATGCGTCTCTAGAAGATATTTTCTGTGCTTATATGGTCTATAGCTATGTATATATGTACATACTATATACATAGTAGCAGAGATCCAGATATCGATGTATATA